TTTTCTCAGAGAACTTCGGTTTCCCCTGCCAATCTTCATTCCACCAATTGCTCCACAATCACCCTCACCTCTCATCTAGGGCTGGTACAATAGGCCAGAAGTGGCCGCAGTACAAGGGACTTAGTCCCACTTCACTGGCATTAAAAAAAATCGCGTGAGCTATGGCGCGGCCCTAGACCCAAACAGAGTACCTCAAAGAATCTGAGCGTACAAATCGGTTTGTTTGTAGAGATGTAGTAAATGCCATAATTGGAGGATCAGCCATTTGCGGGTCGGAAATCCTGTGGGAGCAGACGATAGTAGTGGAATGAAGACGGCAGACTGCTCGAACAATAGGGCTCTGGACGTGGGCCTATTTCTGCGTCGCTCTGCTATCCTACGTACGTAGACATTTTAAGATGGATCGATTCCCAGTCTAAGGAATTCTGTCGAAAGTCTCAACCAATTAAATGAAATGGAAAATTGATGCACTGTTATATAACCATTGTAGCGTGTACACGTAGACTCGTCGCTGGCGATCACAGTAGCCGCGCGGTCTAATGCATGAACTGTGTTCGCCCTGTCAAACACTGGGATCACGGATTCGAATCCTATTTGAGGCATGGATGTCTGTGTGCGTTTATTCTGTGTTTTTGGTGTTCTATGTGTGCCTTGCGACGGGCTGATCCCCCCGTCCAAGGAGTCTTACCGACTGTGTAAAAGTTCAAGAAACTGAAAATGCGGCCATGGCACAACAAAGGGGCCATAAATAAATAGATGGATCCGTTGATAGGTAATGGTCGTAAACGGCAACACAGGAATGATGTTCTCTACGCAGCCCGAGCGATAACCACGTGACGCAACAACAGAAGTTATTTTGGGAGATGTTTTCTATGCGATCCGTGCTGAAGTGTCACAAGCGGGACAAGTCTAGAGTTTAGTCAGTTATAAGACAGTCCACGGCATGTAGGGATGTGAAGACGGAAGTTGAGGGAGATGCGGTGATGCAGGCCATTAGCAAGCGACAACAGACTGAGAAGACTTAGCACGTGCTGTAGTGAATTGTAGAGTGTTTGAATTAGCGATAGCGCTATAGTTACTTGTAGTTACGACCTGTAAATGTTCAATAAATCCAATTAGCAATCCAAATCCCGTTTATAATCAACCATTTGACACTATCTACAAGTGCATCGAATTCGAATAAAACGCGAATCTAGTTGCGTCGATCACTTACTTTGATTTACTTTGTTTCCCACATCGGCCATGGAAATGATATGAAGGTGGCAGAGGCCGGCCCACTTTACCGGCACAAGTTAGCAGTCGCTATCACCTTCATTTCCTTCCAACGTACACTAGTGGAAACTGGAAGACGCGTAATTCAGTTCGTGTCTTCACATGTGATTTTAACACAACGTTGTTCCACCACAGTAAAAAGGCAAAGAAAGTGAGTCTATCCCTGTAACAGGCCGTGGAGGTCCATAGGGTTATGACAGGTCTCCCACATTTTCTAGACAATCTGCTCACAGATGGCGATTAAGTTGTCAGCCTTACGCGCCAACCGCTCTTCATCCCCTAGGAAGATTCCTGGTACTCATTTCTGTTAGAGGCTGAGTAGACGCCAGGACCATAGTGCAGCTGGAAAGATTTGGTAAACTGAAAAATCCAATGATCTCACCGGGACTCGGAACCCGCGACCTTCTGGCCTGCAGCACAGTGCCTCAACCAACAACGCGCACACCACTCCACCACAGTACAGTTGTGAAGTGCGTCAGTGGCTGTCCGTAAATTCTGCTGGTCTCACAGTTGTGAAGTGCGTCAGTGGCTGTCCGTAAATTCTGCTAATCGCACAGTTGTGAAGTGCGTCGGTGGTTGTCCGTGAATTATGTTGGTCGCACAGTTGTGAAGTGCGTCAGTGGCTGTCCGTGAATTATGCTGGTCGCTGGGCTGATCACAGGCGTGAAGCTCCAGTTTCCTAGCCAACATGCGCACCTAACCAACGTCTGTCACCGTACAATGGGCACTAGAGGAACTGTCGTATCGAGCTGAACTGTTTTGCAAGTGAAATAAACAATACACACTGAACGTTCGAACACTTGCGAGTATCATTCTCGAGCAGCGGCCTCCGTAGTCTAGAGGTAACGTTCCCACCTCATGACTCGTAGTACGCGGGTTCAAATACCCGGCGGAGGTCGTCGAATTTTTAAGGGCGGAAAAATTCAGGGAACAAGTCCTCCGGGAGGGACTTTAAGCCGTGGGTCCCGTGTCGTAGCTTTACGGCACGTAAAAGAACCTCATATCTCCAAAGGAGGACACTGAGCCAAATTAACGGACGTTTTCCGCCCAACAGCAGTCTCTAATACCTCTGGTAGATGGGGGAAGCATCATAGATACCTCTCAGCTAGTAGAGCCGGTCTCGCGGGCTGGGCGGGACTGATGATAAGCACCAGTACCGGTAGGATATAGAGATTGTTAGAAATCATAGAGGGAAGCACAATGGACCAATACAGGTCTCAGTGCATGGGGAAACCCACCCTCTCCAGTAACTAACTAACTAACTATCATTCTCGAGCAGAGCTGAGTTGTTCGTCCGTGAATATGGAGACAATTTCGAACTTCTCTTGCAAGAAAGTAAAAATTTAGAGGCTATTGATAGCTCTTCTGCTTATTTTTTTTCTCACTCATACACAACCCATTAAACTTAAGTATTTCAGGTGTGATAACGGACGTTGAAATTTAGAATAGATGTAACTTTTGAAAGAAGGATTTCATTTCTGTTTTGATGTCCACAAATCATTCTTTAAAATATGGCACGTAATAATGGGACATTCTGTGTATCAAATGCGATTTTCACGGTTATACCTCGCTGCAATTACAAATCTGTTATTACAAAAACTAATCACACTGCACTTCATTTCGCAGTAATAAATTGTTTTCTGGCCATTGTTTAAATATTCAGCATACTAAAAATGTTTGAAATTAAACCTGTAGACACTGTATAAATGATATTTTTATTTCGTGTCGTATAGTTCTACATTTTTTTTTGGATAATACCATTGTGGTTTACATTGCACTGGTATGTTTAAAAAGTAAAGTCACCTAATGTATTTTAGTGTAGACCAGGCATGTCAAACTCAACTTGTACAGAGGGCCACCTCAGCCCTATAAATAATAGTCCAGGGCCGCACTTCAAAATAGAAATATACATTAGATTTTGATACAAGGAAATTTAATTCAATTTATTATTTAGGAATAATTTCAATATAATTACCTAAAGTCACATATCTTACAGTTTTAAAAATCAAGAGAATGCCATTTTTGACAAGTATCAAACAGCTTTTCAATATGTAAAAAGAGAGATTACACAAGAAATTATGTTAGAAATAGCAAAACATTGAATTTCCTGCAGCCTGCTAATTTATGTCTGCGTGAAACTTGTTGTCTTCTGGTCTGCTGGAAAATTGTCTTTACAAAAAATATTTATACTAAAATTTTAATATCGATTGTAATATCAATTAGCTCTAAAAGTTGAGGGGCCGCACTTTGTGGCTATGGGGGCTGCATCTTTGACACGGCTGGTGTAGACCATAGTGCCACATTTTCGATGATATATGTTCAGTCGTTTCGGAGTTGAAATGTCATGCGGTCAGATTTCAAGCTCCCAAGCATGTCATTTAACGTTTAATTTCGTGCAAATAAGGGATAAATAACACATAGGAACGCAGTCATTCAGAAGCTAATGGAGAAATTCCCCGTTTTTATGGAACCCGCACTTTCATTGCCACCGACACTAACCTTACCCCGAGTCGTATGAATCCACTCAATATCGTTAAACCCTACTGCTTTAAGATCAGTCTATCAATATTGTACTCCCATCTATACTTAGGTCTCTCAACTGATCTCTCCCCTTCAGGTTTTCTGAATAAATTTTTGTTATGTACATTCTTTGCGATTTCATATCTCTTATTAGCTTTAAAGTTCACTTATTATGTATAAAAACGTAAGCCTATTACTACTACAATTTTTTTCTCTCTCTCCTTTATTGACAATCAAATTGTACGGTCTGTAAGTCAAGGTGCTGATTGGACTACTACAAATACAGTCCTTTGCATCACAGTTAATCATCTTTGAGATTTTGTTACAGAATCAAGTCATGTCCACAAAAAAAATAATACTGACTGATAAACCTAGAGGATACCGAAATATCGGACGACCCATAACTAGATTGGATGATGCTTTCTCTAGAAGTACCTGTAACCTCGATGCAGAAGAGGGATCAGATCATTTATCTTTGTGTTTCTTCAAATATCCTGAGTATTGAAAATGTTCCATATACACGTAATGGCTGATATGTGTATTTTATGCCATGAAGCATTTTCTGTATGATGAGCCATTCTTGAGAAAATAAGAGAGATTCGATTTGAGTTCTTTGCAAATTGGATGCTGTTTAGGACTGATAACAAACCAAACATTATAATTACTTAGAACATTTTAGGCTATACACCTGATAGCTAAATGAAATCAGTTGAGTGGTTTCAGAGATGTAATATTTGAACAGAGACGCAACCTGATTGTTATGTGCACGTCGTTCATAGAAAGTACAGATCTTGATTGAAAGAGGGAGACTGATTCTCAGATCCTGGCTAGGCTTGTTTTGTATCTGATCAATATAACGTTGTTTCTTTCTTCGGGGAATTTAAGTCAATATAACATAAATATTCGCTTTAGACACAAGAACAGGTGTGAATAGGATGATAAATTCCTTGCACAAGTTTTGAGTGCGGGGATCATGCGAAGTGAACTCAAATTTTCCATGGATGGTTAATGTGTCCATTAAAGTAACACGTAAAAGTCATCTATACCAAACTGCAAGAAAGCCTGTCAGTCTGCATACTGGTAAACAAGTCGAAGCTGTAGCAGAGGACTTCAGATAATGTTCTATTTTCTATTAAATTCACAAGCAGTTAATAAACACACTTACGGTAATCTGCTGGGTTGTGGTAGGATGGACACGTTAGCCCCATGTCTGCAAGGAAGGGGAGAAGCCCCTGGACGCCACCCTGATAGATGCAATAGCCTTCAGCCACAGCATACAAGTGGTCGAACATTTCGAAGAGCAGAGCGCTGGGCTGATGAATGGTACACACAACAGTGCGGCCCTGTTGGGCCAACAGCTTCAGTAGCGACACACATTGAGAGCACGAGGAACTGTCCAACCCACTGTAATTTAATTAACCAACATAGCATTCATCACCAAAGACCATAAGCTAAAAGCACTTTTCAAAGTTAACAAAAGTAGAAACGTAAATCCAAGCATACACTTCGGGAACAACTGTCTTTAGCTTCTTTTTCATCTCTTTTTTTAAGAAAGGGGCAGTGGAATTCGACTGGATGTACGTAAAAGACAACAGTTACATGTTTCCATATATTCACTTGCATTCATTACACATCTCTGTATTTGTTACATAGGAGGTTGCGTCTTCGCTGCTTCCCCTTGATATCTTGCGCTGTACTTGTATAATGTAAGATGTGAGGTTTTCACGGCGGTGGCTATGAAGAAAGCCGTCTTCTGGGATGTGGTGCCGTGTAGATATTGTGTTAACCGACATTTCGGAGGAACGTATCGCCTCCATCTTCAGGGTAGGAGACAAGAAGAAATCCGAGAGCGAACCAGCAGAGGAGATGCAACAGACTGCGAACAGTCTCGTCTGTTCCCTTAAGTAACCTCCGAAATACGGCAGATCCTATAGGCCACTCAGGCCCATCGCAGCTCCCGAGCTACATGGTTAATGCCTTCCATTTAACCTTCCGTTCTCTCCCCCTAACACATACTCTATACCAGCTCTGGCCCACTACCTGCTGGATATTCCACCAGACCCTTCCCCTTCCCCTCTCTACTATTTCCCTATGTAGCCCTCTCCTCTTATACGGCTGTGTTTACTCGACTGGACTCAGTCTGTTGCACCTCCTCTGCTGGTTCGCTCGCGGATTTCTTCTTGTCTTCTACCCTGAAAATGAAGGCGATACGATCCTCCGAAACGTCGGTTAACACTATTTCTACACGGCGCCACATCCCAAAAGATGGCTTTCTACTTGTATAATGATTGGGCCTATTGATGGAACGGCTTAGCGGTTTAAGATTCGTGAATGAAATGAAGTAATAGAATATGTCTCTAACAATAGAAACCTTCCTTTTCAGTGGCACCAATATCAAAGCCCGAAACTGGACTCTATTTTAATTAGGGTTAGAGCATATACCAATAGTCTTCCCTCAAAAATCATTCCACTATTATTCTCTGACCTTTCAAAACGGTGTATTCGTATCTTCAATTGGTCTTCGGCTTATGTGTTATATTATCATGAATCTTCTTTCTTTCTGTCTTCACGTACTCGGCCAATATATATATATATATATATATATAACAAAATGGTCTTTACTGTGTAAAGTTCATTTCCTATTTAATTCAATTTAATAGAAGTAAAAAGTATTTTATCCCTTTATTATCAGGCAACATTTCTTCTCAGGCTGAGAATCCAGAAAAAACGGGGAAATTTGAGACACAAGAAAGCTTTACGGTGTTTATAACAATTCTGGGCCAAAAGTCAAGACAGGTACATAATTATATCATTTTCTGGATAGCGTATTTCATTTTTACCTAGTGGCGTTCGTTTTATTTCTAATTATAATTTCGAGCTCCTTTAGGGCATTCGTTCGTGTACTTCATGAAGAACTCCAGCAGCATAGAAATGTCAGAAACCAACTGTACTACGATTTCCATTCAGTTGCATTAGTATAATTCAGTATACGGTCTTTTGGGATATTCCCCAGTGTACGAGGGAGTCAGTAAATAAGTCACAAATGGATGTAAATTATGTGATATTCAGACATAGAAAAACATCTGTTTCTTGACATATCCTCCACCAACACTGAGACAATGGTCCCATTGCTTTGTCAATCCGCCGAAACCCGCAGCATATAAGTCTTTTGACTGTTGTCTCAGCCACTTCTGTACCACCGTTTCAACCTTTTCGTCATCAACATATGCCACACAGTTGTAAACTGCTTTAGACTACGAAAGCCTTCCCGCCGTAAATAGGTAACATTTCCTTATGAATATCGTTTGAGTACTTTTGCTCGTAAAAGAAGGGAACAGAACGTTGCTCTTCGGCAGCACATTCCTCAAGCACGGTCACCATTTTGACTACTGAAACCAGCTTCTGAACGTGCGCATGCGCGTCTGCTACCTAGACTCTTTATTGCAGAAAACATATTGTAAATACAAAAAAAGGTCTAGGCAATGACCATCCGGCCTTCGGTAGCACATTCTTATAAACATCTTATTCTATCACAGCGGTAACCCCGCGATTCTTAATATAGACCTTAACTTAAATCTGAGAGTATACTGTTAATAATCAGTACAATTACTTCTTTTACTTTTCTTACATATCTATTTTATATAAATGTAGGAATGTTGTTTATGAAGTAAGAGACGCCTTGCAGAAATCAGTTTACATTTCCATGAAGCTGGGCTGTGCTGCTGTCTAATGATACAAAGAGGAAACCTATTAAATCCATTACAGTTGTTTTACTTCCATTTGTGAGCAACCTACCGATGTTCCCTCGTAGTGTGATAGATAGGTACCGATGTTTCCCTACTCATGCTAGAACACTGAGGCAGCAAGTTCATTCGAAACTTTAATACCTAATTATACACGTACGTCATCTTAATAAAACGCGAACTTAACATTCTCCTCAGTGAGTACCTCGAACTTCACTATATTTCAATCTTTAAGCAGCAATAGAAAAATTAGTAGCTACAGACTGCACGGGCCGGGGTTGATTCCTGTCAGCGGCACGAGTTTTCTTTTAGACACAAAGTTCAATCAGACTGCTGTCTATCCAGTCCCTCCCCAGTGAATACCATGGGCTTTTCCTGAGGTCTAACTGACCGAAGCGTGAAGCTGCCCACTACCTCAATCCAGCGCCAAAGTTTAGAATAGAAGGAGCTATACCTTTACTCCCCCAATAAGTCTTTATGACGTGGTGCTTATGCACCAGGGAGATTTTAACTGTAGCATAATTCAAATTTTGGGACAATCCAAAATGTTTGCACAGATTTTAACTTGTAAAGTAATTCTGAACGAAAATGTTCTTTTATTATAGTATGGGTAAATTCGGGGACACGAGGTAGCATAGTTGGTTCATGCACTACGCTACAAGCCGGAAGGTAGCGGTTTCGATTCCCGATAAGGTAACTGGCTTTTCAGTTGACCTAATCCTTCCAGCCTCATTATGGTCCTGGGGTCGACAAAACCTCTGGCAGAAATGGGTACCAGGAATCTTCTTGGGAGTAAAGGGTGGCCGGCGCATAAGGCTGACAGCCTCACCGCCATCTGTGAGCCGAATATCTAGAAAATGTGGAAGCCTCGTCTCACAAACCTATGTGCCTCCACGGCCTGTTACAGGGATAGTTTTACCTTTTTATTTTAAGTTTGGGTAAATTAATTGACCTTCTGAGGAACTGTTTTAAATTCGGTCCTTCTAACTTCAGAGGGCATTGGGCAACAAACTGACGTCACAGAATTAACCTTTGGGTCATATCCAAACCCAGACCTCATGCACGATGCATGCTCAGACTTATTGTCATTCATAGCACGTTCAAATTTAAGATTCCCTCCTTTGTTTCTGTAATCGAATGAAGATCTAGAATGGCTTCCCATGCACAGCCATACAAGTCTTTCTGGCAACAGAATTCCACGATACAACGCCACGAACATCAGTACATCGAGAGGAAGTCAGTACAGGTCACGTCCTTATAATCTGCATCAGTGGTAGGCAACAAGCGGCCAACACGTGGCCAGCGGTTCCTTTTTGCGAGGCCCGTCTAAGAATTTCGATACATCAGCAAATATAAAGAAATCGAAACAAATATACTGTCACATGTTGGGTATGTCACGCGACAAATAACTTCACGACGTCTTGGATGTAGCGAATTTATTGAACACTCGCTCTTACACTTACACAATTCACAATTATCAATTGCTGCAATCTGCAGTATCACAATTATTTCGCCTGCTGTAGTCACTGCCATTCACTCGATACAACTCAACTCGTAGCTGCTGGACTTCAACTCATACTGAATACTAGTAACTGGTTCAGTACTCACTACTAGTAACTCTCTCGTAACTCAATACTCAATCCTGAACAGTCGAAGTCTCATTGCGACTGACGATCAGTCAGTCAGTAACTCTTGGTATCGAGCACTCTCCTGGGGCTCATGACCAGATATTTATTGCTCCTCGACTGTTACGGTCTTGTTTCTGTGGGGCGCCCTCTCTGACGAGAGGATGGGTCTGTCTTTTGTATATGCTGCTGGCCCTTGCCAGCGCAGTGTTTCTCGGGTCCTAGTCCCTTGGGACTTGCGAACAGTAAAATATGGTCACAAGTCCCAAGGGACTAGGACGAATTCGCTGTTCCTTATTTAGGCTCGGCACGGACATCGTAGAGAACAATTTGCTGCTCGGCAACAGTTATCAGGTATTGTCAGGTGTTTCTACCTACGCATTGCCTAGCAATAGTCGCTGCACGGTCTCGCCTGTTGCGTGATGTCACAGCCTAGTGGGGTGGGGAGTTTACCGAGCGTTGCGTAATGATGGAAGGAGCGGGGGTACGTGACGTCACTCGTGGAAACGCAGAGTTCACGTGACCCCTACTTCCTGTTGCGTCATCCACATTACAATATTACTTTGTGTTAGTGCACTGTGTATATTCTCCGACTACTGACACTATGTTGATGTGGATATGTGAAGTGCAGGATTTTGTATAAGGAGACTGTTTACGGTTGGTTGTTCCTGTCATTGGTGGGCGATGGCGTTAAACGTCAGCCTCTCGACGTACAATTCTGTAATATTTGCGGCCGGTAAGGAATACGTGGAAAAGCAGAAAAAGTTAGCTTAGGTAACAAATGATGGGGTTTCGCGATGAATTCCATTGTCAGTACTTAGGATTAAACAACGTGCTTAATCACACTTAATTTCACATCCTGTTTTGAAACAAACGTGGGAAGTACGTCTATATTTGAAAAGCAAATTTGAATTCTTTGTTTGTAACGATGTCAATACAGACAATTCCAAACACAAAGCACTTTCAAGGATGCGGTCGAATGGGTTGTAACTCCGGGGTTTCGGAGTAAAATACTGCCTCCAACTTCAGAGCCGACGAATAGGACAAGCAAATAGCCAGCAAGAGCAGGCAGCGAGCATAATCTCCATCTTCAGAGTCGAAAAGTAAGCCAAGAAAGAAACGAGTCTAGCTCGCCGGTTGTTTCTGCTGGTTTGTTGCTTGATTAATTCTTTGACCCTGAAAATGGAAGCGATGTTCCTCTGACATGAGGAGCTGTGTCCGAAATACCGGGAGTTACAACCCAGAAGACTTAAAAAGAGTCTGTGTTGAGAACCTCATATTCAACAAATTTACTTGTTCCTTTCGTTTTACCGATCACATGATGAACTCAAGGGATACATGTCGTGATGAGCTGCCAGCTCAAACCGTAACGCTCGTGACTGCTATTCGGGGGATGCCCGGTTCATTACCATGTTCATAAGATCTGCCATAGGTCCCTGTCCTGAGCCAGTTGTATCCAGTCTTTACTGCTTATCCTACATAAGATCTATTTTATTATTATCCTCCCACCTAAGCCCAGATATACTTAGCAGGCACTCTCCTTCAGGTTTTCTCACCAAAATTTTATGAACTTATCTCCTATATGTCCTACATGCACCCTCCTACTTAGATCCTCATAAATCCTAATTTTCTCCTCAGCACCCTGTTCTCAAACGCCCTCAATTCATGTTCTTCCATTATTGAGAAAAACAAAGTTTTACACCGTCAAAAACTACAGATATAATTATTGTTCTGCACATATTAATCTTTATACTAGCAGACAGAGCAGAAGACACAAGATTCTGAGCTGTATATTAGCAGACATTCCATGAATTTAATCTGTTTCTAATCTTTTCACCGAAGCATCTGCCCACCTGCCAGGATCGTTAAATGAATCACAGAGATAAGTAATGCAGTTCGTAACATACGCCTACATTCAAATCTACTACTGACGAAACCAACAATAAATTAAACGTCTTATTAGGGCCGCGCCATAGCTCAAGCGGTTAGTCGCTGGCTTCCCACCGCGGCGGCCCGGGTTTAAACCCGGGTCTGGTCAAGTGGGATTTGTGGTGGACAAAGTGGCGCAGGGGTTGGTTTTCTCCGAGTACTTCGGTTTAGCCTGCCAATCTTCATTCCATCAAATTCTCCATCATCATAATCACCCGGGGCAGGTACAATAGGCCAAACAGTGGCCACCGTGCCGAGTGGACCCAGTTGGATTCCACCCCCAACTAAGCGAATTAAAAAAAAAAAATTAAAAAAGCGTCTTATTATGTTAAAAGTTGGACCCAAAGACACGCACATTTTTAGGAAGCGGAAATTTCCTGACTTATAGTCTTTTTGTCTTCAAATTTTGCCTCATTCTTTTGTAGAGGAACGAACTACATATTCCACACTGAGGTATGTATGTATCTGAGGGTACATATTGTTCTTTTCTTTTGCATTTCATTAAATATAAGCCATATCGAGAAATACCGTATTTACGCATGTATAGGCCGCAGCACAATTTTCAGACAGAAATTATAGAAAAAATAATTTTCTTGGAATATTATTTCAGGAGTAGAACACCCTGTATTACTAATTATGAATATAATTTTTTTTAAATGAAGTGTGATTTCGAATATTTCGAATATAAGCCGCACCCCAGTTTTCCTCTTGAATTTTTGGCAAAAAATGTGCGGCCTATACATGCGTAAATACGGTATTTCAAATATAAATTTAATGTAAGACAGTTTTTTTTCTTGCTATAAGCTTTCTGTTATCAACCTGATAAATTTCGTATATATTGGGACTGCATTCTTTGTACCATGAACTGCCCTTTATCAATCTAAAGTTCGAGTTGAGCTCCCTGCACTGTAATAAAACCGAATTCGCCTAATATCCTTTGGTTAAAACCACAGTACCAAATTTAATCACACTCCCTTAGTAGTTTCAGAGACGGAACATGCAGACATGACCTCCTTATCGTGCATTCACTGTGTGCCTTTTCGTGCAAAGGACTCATAAAACCAACATTAATACTCTCTTCTCTTCCCAGGACACGTGCACTGACTTTTCCATTTGCGTTCGATATGCAGTATCTGTATATTTAGGAAAGCGACTCGTAGTAATAACTGAGTATAGCTCGGGATAGTAGCCAAGATACAAGGACAAGAAGAAGGATGCCAAATAGATGCTGAAAGAAGATTTAGAGGCCGGAAGAGGCACTGAGATGCCTAATCAACCAAAATAAGAATAACTGTAGATATTCAGACACCTGAGCAGTATGAAAATTCTTATTCCCACATGACATTTTGGGCTATGGATTTTATAAAGACGACATTCCAGAACGTGTTGTGACAGACTCGGGGATGCCTAGAACATATTTTCCGGTCCATTAACATTTAGTTAGAACGAATATAAGAAAGTAAACGGGCATACTCACGTGGTCGGTTCGTCCAGCAATAGGACGGATGGGTTGCTGATGAGCTCCAGGGCAATTGACAGCCTCTTCTTCTGACCGCCAGATAAGGCTACGGTGCGAGTGTTAGCGTGCTCGGCCAATCCCAGCATGTCTAGCAGGTCAAAAATCTGTAAGATCGTGAGCAGATGATAATAATAACATTAATCACAATTCATTGTCGTATTGTAGCTTTCGGAATCGCCAAGTGTATTTAGAATAATTATGTCAAGGATGAAGAGTGGGCGGGGAATGTAGCAAGTATGGGGAGATAAGGATTTTGGTGCGAAAGCCAGAATGAAAGATACCACTACGAAGACCTAGAAGTAATTGGAGAACAATATTAAAATTGATCTTACAGAAATAGGATGGGGTGGTATGGACTGGATTCATCTGGCTCAGGATAGGGACCAGTGAAGGGCTCAGCTGAGAGAATGGCAACTTCTCAAGAAGGGCTCAGCTCCATGGAATTAGTTATGCATCTTTCGAAAATTACAAAACTATTGTTAATTCCTCCCCTCCCCCTCCAGCCCAGAATGTAAAACTTGATGGGCACATGAAATCTACATTTAGCTTTCGGATTGAAACAATAGTTAATGAACTATATCGGCCTGGAATGCGAACTTTCACATGGAGGTGCACCATAAATGCGCCTACAAATTCTGCATACATTATTGTTCAGAACAGCCGGGATAGCATAGTGACTGGTTACGGGCTGGACGACCAAGAGGTCAGGGTTCGAGTCCAGATGAGGGCAATAATTTTCATTTCTCCATGTCGTCGATATCGGCTCTGGGATCCACCCAGCCTCCTATCAAGTGGGTACCTGCTTTTCCGTTTCCTATCTCAGTTGGGTTTTGCGCTATGGCGGCTGAGGTATTTCGCGGTTTCCTTCCATCTCTCCAGGCAAATGCCCAGATAGTACCTTAAATTATGCCCTAAGAGCTTCCTTCCATGTTCTTTTCACTCCATTATACACTGTCAACCAATCATTTGACTCTTATATAATTTGTGTTACTCACAGCGACATTTATATGCTTAGAAATATCTCCCGGTTCCTGGGGGTAGCAGTTTGCAAACATTTCCGTCTACTACTCCACTTGCTAATTCTGGCCTACACATATCTAACAACGGCTCTACAGCTCTTTATTGGTCCTTGGACGGGGGATCAATCCGTCGCAAGGTCGCTACCTACACACAGGACAACACAAACACAGAACAAACGCACCCAGACATCCATGTCTCAAATGGGATTCGAACTCACGATCCCAGCGTTCAAACGAGTGAATACTCAGGTCTTGCCTTAGATCGCGGCCACTTTAATGGGCGACGTAGACATACGACAGACAAAATTCAGACTTGCCACTTTCGTGTAAGTTACAGAGACACTAATAAAGCGTTTTTCTTTTCCCCAGCAGAATTACGCCTTCTTCCACCAAACGCCGCAATTGCAAACATGACCATGCGAAAAACCGGAAGTTATATACAGTATCTTTAACGTCGGAATCTGTACTTGCGGAAACTATACACAGACCTGGATCCAAATCACAAGTGCGTTCCTCATTGTTTATGCCATTCTAAAGAGTCCGTTTACCTCCGAGTCCCTCTCGTAAAATACGTGTATGAGTTCAATATGGCGAACATCTCCCAAGTGTCGGCTGCCCACAACTGTTTATTCTGTACATTCGTATCAACAGGTCGTCTCCTTCATTTGCATTGCTGAGCGTGCATGTTATTTCCAAAAGCTTCTTGATCAACTACTGGATCGTGACCCCTTACTCTGAAGAGCAGGGCGGCCAAGGTCTACGTGCCTCTGTTCACGAAGTCTGTTATGTACATTCCGTACACGTGGCTCAGCCAATTATCTCACTGCCTCTCCATACATTTATTGTCTACCTGCTTATTTCTTCCAGCGTCCGTCGCTTTTCTCTGTTTTTAGCTTCGGTGTTACATGACCTTGTCGGCAAAACATGAGAACAGACAAAACAGACCCGAATGCGGTGCTTTTACACACCCTAACATTTCGCATTTTTCTATACCTGTATACAGTAAACATTGTCTCAAATGTGTTTGCTTGCAAGCAGGACCTAGCAGGACCTGAGGTCTTTCGTAATAAAACATTCATGTCAGCCGCCTTGGCTGCTTAAGGAAATGATAAAATGGGAGTTACACAGTAATTGAAAATGGCATAATCGGTCAGATTAATTCATTCATAAGATAATCTGTCACACAAACTTACATTAAGAAACTTCATTGTTTATTTATTTCTTAGTATTCGCCGCATGTTTCGACCGTAAACGGTCATCATCATGTGATGACTTGAATTTGCCAAATATACGCAAGCTGTAACCACAATATTTGTTAAAACTTGGACATATATATATATATGTTTATACAGTAATGAAACTAGGTTCAATTATACTTAGTTATACAAAGACGTGAGTATAAAACAATAGTTCTGTCAAAAATATAAGAATTCTTCAGTGTATGGAATTACATACGCTTTGGTTCGAATTCTTCTTTGTAGCTTGGTACTTCACAGTCCTACATTATCCCTTTACTTTCGCACATATCCCTCATGGTCAATCGCAGTTCATTTATTAATTTTAAATAGGATTTGAAGTTCTCACAGCTGTAGTTATGAAGGCTTTTGTCGTAGGAGATATAACAGTGTGGTCTGTTGAAAATCAACAGATGATTTGGAGCAACATACCGCCTCCATCTTCAGGGCGGAAGAATAAACCAAGCAAGAAGCGAGCTTCAAACAAGTAGCAAGCAAATCTCATTCTGATTTCTTATTTGGCGCATTATTTACCCTGAAGATGGAGGCGACATATGCCTCCGAAACGTTAGTTGATTTTCAACGGACTACACCGCGCTGTATCCCAGTAGACTGAATTCTTTATTCGTGTTAAGTTGTACATAAGTTTGTTATGGGGTACTCGGAAAGCTTTCTGGTGTCGTACTGTTCGTGAGTGGAGTTCGTCTGAAAATTTTCATAAGATGTGCGTACTCATTGCTAGAATATTCAGGACCTTCTTGTGCCTTGGGATTTGGCTAACGCTCCGTCACACAGGTTTAGCCTGTCATGGAAAATAGTTTATTTTGTACATTTCTCCCTTACCCTCTATCTTGTTTAAACTTATCATTTCATCTCGTTTGAACCTTTACCTCACTTTTCCCTTTCCCCGCGTTTCTCATCTTTTTAGCATACGTTCCTCTTGTGAAACAGAAAGTTCAAAAATTGGTCTACTTCCTGTGTATTCGTTGCAGCACTAGCTGTTCTTACCACAAGCCGTTGCCTAGCAATAATATGAGGGTACACGTACAGACACACAGACTGGTGGGAGGAATTTATGAGCATGACGTTGAGATGGGTTCAACGTACTTAGTTTCATAAAGATTGGTTCAGCCATTCATAAGTTACTAGGGGGTCACACAAAAGATTAAAAAACCATGGAGATCGCATAAGCCTGCTTTCATTAAAAAAAAAGGCTAAAAGTAAAAGGAGGCTTATGAGATCACACTGCTGTCTGTGATTGTCCCCCAATTCCTGTTATGAGGCTTATGAGTTTACCTAGCTCTCTGTGTGTCCCCATCCTCCCTAATTCTTTCGTTTTCTGTGCGCTCTGTGTCGTATCAAAAGAAAGTAGGAGATTAGTTCCTTCCAGAACTTGTTTATTTGTCCGTCCTGTCATCACTCCTCTTTCCCTTACTTCCACCATCTTGTACTTTCCAGTGTAGGAAAATGTCACTCAAAACATGCAATTACCGCACGACAATGAAATATAGCTCTCTCTATACTCGTATATACGTATATAACTCTACATCCCTTTAAACCTTGGCCGCTGTTCAGTTTTACACAGTTTTATATACACAGTCGGTAGGGCTCCTTGGACGGGGGATCAGCCCGTAGCAAGGCCGCTACCTAAACACAGAACAACACAAACACAGAATAAATGCACACAGGCATCCATGCCTCGAGTGGGATTGGAACCCACGATCCCAGTGTTCGAACGTGCGAAGACGGTTCAAGCCTTTGACTCCGCGGCCACTTCGATCAGCACAGGGAAAACATGTCATGCCAATTATGTTATTTCCGCTATCCCTGAGGTCAGCATCCCGTATGAGCAGAAGCAAACAAGGGCACAGACTGGCTTCTATAATTAGTTCCTAGGGATTATGTTGTCTGAAATACTGGTTTACAAGGTTTACATTCCTGGAGGTGGTTCTAGTCCAGTCTGTATACCGATGAATGGCATGGCTTAGTATTCAAAGGATCCCGGGTTAGATCCCAACTAGGCCGAGCCATAGCTCAGGCAGTTAGTCACAGGCTTCCCACTGCGGCGGCTCCGGTTCGAGGCCGGGTCAGGTCATGTGAGATTTGTGGTGGCCAAAGTGGCACTGAGGCAAGGTTTTTTTTTTCAAGCACTTCGGTTTCCCCTCCCAATTCGCATTCCACTGATTGCCCCACAATCGTCATCGTCATCAACTATCATCCGGGGGTGGTACAACAGGCCAAACAGTGGCCGCAGTACCAAGCGGACTCGGTCTCACCCCACGAGAAAGGCTAAAAAAGAACTTTCATCCCAACTAATTAAATATCCAGGCAGATCTGACTGTATAATGGCCAATGATCACCTGAAGGCGGGAGCACAGCCACCTCCCGAAAACTCATGTACCTTGAAGTCATCAGAGACTTCGTGATCACTGTGTGTCTGAAGTGCATCATACCTGCTTCTGTTTCTGCCTGTGTGACGTGCTGTAGCCGAGACGGAGGTGCGCCACGAAGGTCATGGCTTCCTTGACAGTGAGGGCCGGTCTCAGGGCATCTTCTTGCATGATATAGCACGACAGTCGGAAGAACTCGTTATGATGACCCTTGATTATATTCCGGCCATTCACCTTTACTGATCCTTCCGCTCCGCGCATCCTGGAACATAAGGACATCAAGTAACTTAGCTCTGTTCATAGCGGGTCGTGGATTGACAGGCTAAGCCTGCTGTCCATATTGCCCCTTAAATATGCATGCCATAAGATGGAGTTGTGCTGATACTGCAGCATTATCTAGTTATTTGTAACTGAGGAAACATTTGCCCATATCAATATACAGTAGAACTTGGTTATAACGTCGTCAGAGGGACCTAAAAATAGTGTCGTCATAAACGAATGTCGTTGTAACCGAAATGGGCACTTCCACAGTAGCCTTATGTTAGTCACGTAAAAATCTACAAAAAACCGAGTTAAAATGTTGCATTTGTTAGTGAAATACGTAGTAAAGTTAAACTTTCCTTTTCATTGCCATGTTTTCGCTACTGCACTTCTCTGGGTTTAGGCAGGAACACTATAGGGTAAGTAGACAATGTGAGGTCCTGTTAGACGAGATTCTAGGAAAGGAATGCAGTTAACAACCTGCCGCGTCCTCTTGCACTATTGACGCAGTCCCACCCCACACCCTTGTTTTCGCATAAAACCCACGCTCCTCTTGCAGCCCGCGGTCGTATTCTTCCAGGACAGTCACGTCAGCAAGTAGAGAAAGTGAGGGTGGGCAGACACATCGAACTTTCCCACGATATCAGAGAAATTCAGGAATGAAAATGACGTTACATACGAGGTTGATGCATTTGTGCATGTCGTACTAAGCAAGGTATAAAAACAGTTGCTTTATGAGGAATTAGTTCGTACCATTGAATATTTGACGCAATAGACAAGGTGTCGCAGAAACCGATGTTGCTATAACCAACTTTTACTGTATATACACACACACATAATGAGTAGCTTCATAACTTGCACCCTTCGCCAAGTATTGTTAGAATGTGCAAGTCAAGGAGGATGAGATGGGCGGGACATGTAACATAAATGGGGACGCGGAATGCATATAGAATATTGGGGGGAAGGCCAGAAGGAAAGAGACCACTAGGAAGACCAAGACGTAGGTGGGTTGATAGTATTAAACTGGATATTAAAGAGATAGGATGGGATGGTATTGACTGGATTGGCCTGGCTCAGGATAGGGACCAATGGAGGGTTTTTATGAACACGGTATGAATCTTAGGGCTCCATAAAATCCTGGGAAGTTCCTGGGTAGCTGCACAATTGGCGGCTTCAGCGGCTTCTGAAGAGGGGCTCAGCTCCATGAAGTTATACACATATACACACACACATGTACAGGATGCACGGGGAAGCGCAGTTGGTTAAGGAAGTAGCCTACAAGCCGGAAGGTGGCGGGTTCGATTCCCGATGAAGTCATTGATTGCTTCGATTAAAATAATCCTTCCTGCCGCACGACTAAGCCTCTAACAAAAGTGAATACCAGGAGTTTTCATGGTGGTAAAGAGCGTCCGGGCATGTACTGTCTTCGCTCGCTTGGAAACCGGGATCGTGGGTTCGAATCCCATTCAGGGCATGGATGTTTAGTTTGAATGTGTGCGTTTTTCTGTGTTTGTGTACAGGTAGAGGCCTTGCGACGAGCTGATCACCCGCCCCAGGAGTCCTACCGAATGTGTAAGATCTAGAAAAACCGAAGTGAACGGAGAAGTTCATGGAGGTAGGCCTAGGCCCACTGGGGCTGTAGCGCCAAGGGGAAAAGAAAAGGCCAGCTGACAACCTCACCGTCACCTCTGAGCCGATTCTCTGGAAAATGTGGGAGCTTCGACGTTTCATAATCCTATGGGCTTCCAGGGCATGTACCTTCTTCTTCTCTTAACTATTATTATTATTATTATTATTATATTTCTGGCTTATACGACGAAATTAACTACTCTAGGTATCTACTTCTCGCTGACGATATCAGATCTACCGTGCCATTAAATCTCCCAAAAACTGCGACCTGCTGCAGTCTGACATTGACTCTGTATAAGGCTAGTAAACTGCTTACTATAAAACTCAGTTTTAGTCAAATTAAAATTACATCCTCAATGAAAATTAAGCTATCGATCTACGAGTATAAACTTTACGATTCGTCTCTAACCCGTACCGACTCTATTCAATATTTTTGGGATTCTCAGTTTTATTTCCTTAATCATGCCACTTATGCACAATTTCTCATTGTATTACGCTGACGGGTCTAGTTCGCAGCGTAACCTTCTCTCATTACTTGAATGCCTTTATACCTTACACTTTACGCTAGTTAGATCGAAATTTCAATACGCCTCTGTCTGGAATTCTGGTCCGTTTACTGACGCCAATTAGGTGGAGCTTATACAACAAAAGTATGCAGCCCCCTGTTTCAATCGTTTCTTTCCCCATATTCATTACATTTATGCTTATCCCTTAAAACTATTAAAATTGCACACCTTACGTAACAGGAGGTATAACTAGTTACTATAGGATTCTGACGATGGTATATAACACATAGAGATATTGGGTTGTCGGACTTTATCCATCGTCCTGGTTTTAAGATAACTAAGAAAAACACGACGTTTCGGAAATTGGATCTGTTTCCGTCCTCAGGTGAGCCTCAATCACTGGACAGTGATTGTCCAGTGATTGAGGCTAGCTCTTTCTAAGGGACACAACAGAATAGGTGTTTTCATTCACCTGAGGACGGAAAAAGATCCAGTTTCCGAAAAGTCGTGTTTTTCTTAGTTATCTTAAAACCAGGACGATGGATAAAGTCCGAAAACCCGATATCTCTAGGAGGTATAACACTCGTCCTAATTCGAGTTTATCTTGGCTCTAAATTCTGTCCCCCTCTTTTGGAATCTGTTGGTCTTCGCGTTCCTGCCCGGTATATCAGAGAAATTTCTTTGTTCATTGTTTGCTCTTTAAGCAAAAACTTGTCCTCTGCTAGATGGAATTTAGCAGTTAAGTTGCTTATATGGATGACATGTTTAGAACTAAAACCGTTCCTCAGCACGCTACAATGGTACTTCCTTAATAAATAAATATTAATTATATTAAATATATGTGCATATACTCGTATTTTTCTCTCATCGCATAACGGTGAACGTGATTGCACAAATTGAAGCTTTATTGTGTAAACTGTTGCCTTGTCATGCCCTTTGTGTTTATGCTTGTTTCATGTCTTTCCTTGCTCCTAATTGACCTTTAGGCTGTTGAATTATCACGAAAATAGATAACGAATGGAATGCAATTATTACAGGCATCAAGGTTCAGGGGCCGCCTGGCCTCTTCAGGTTTAGTATTAATTCTGAAACAGTCTTTCAGGCATTTTGCAGAACTCAACTTACTGCAAGTTTTCTGCTTGCATAGAACAATGAAGCACAGAAAGCAGCAGACGCCCGTCAATGCCCAGATCGGGATTCGAAACAACGATCCCAGATTTCGTGCGATCCAAGACTGTATCGTACCCGTATTACATCGCGCGTCTACTGGTGTTCTCTGCTACGTCTTACGCTTCAGAACAGAAAGACTGACACCACTTACTTCTCCAGACATGCGTCACGAAGCAACAACAGTGTTTATGCAATGTTCTTTGTTTGCCAAATGTCAGTAAGTGAGGTCAAGAACAATGTCATTGTATATTACGAAATTTGCGGCCAGGGAAAGTAGCCGATCACCAGTGAGCGAGTCGAATAGCTGCTGTTGCAGAACTGCCGTACATTTATGTCGGTCGAGAAAAAAATCTGGCTCATTTTTAACAGGTTTGTGCCCCATCTCCAAAACCTGCAAGATATGACGGAAATAAAATATTTGTAGAATAATTTCTTGATTCATGCGCACTTGATTTCATCGATTTAGATTTAACAACAGTAACACAATATACTTCTTAACCTTTAAAGACCGAATCTCTTTAAGTAATGCATAAGAATTCAGTAGGTACTCTAACCATCCCTGCTCATTTCTTCGTATTTATGTCTATGCCGGCTCCGGTATATCACTTAAACTCCTCTCTGGTTTATGTCACGGCAGTAATGCACCTATCGCTGAAATCGAGAAATGACTGCAAATGTATTATCTCATAAGCTACATAGGTCTACATTGTTTTCACAAATGTTTCGCCATCGTGTGGCAGAACATAATGTTGTCATATGAAAGTCTAGTGCTGTTTAACACTGTGCAGCTGGGCACACGGTTTGTACAAATATAATGTTTTTCGACATTATCCATCGTCCTGTCCTTATCTAAAAACACAACGTTTCGGAGACTGGATTCTGTCTCCGTCTTCAGGATAATGTACCATCGTAACAAACTTTTATATCTTATTTACATGGTCTGTAGCTTAATACTGAAATGATACATAACCTTCGAAGGGTCGAATTTTTTAAACAATGGCACATTCGCAAAAATAAATATCAATTAACCGTAACAATGTGTTCACGGCAGAAAACGGAAGCTGTTTACGTGTAGCAACGTTTTATCTACGTCGGTCAGACTGTATTAGTAAACAGAAATTTTGTTGTGCTGCTTTGCTTACGAAAAGAAGAAAATGACTTACTCTGAATAAAATTTCCAACTGTTTTTGTTGTTTCAGGTAGGATCGCAACATGTACTGTGAAAATGAGTGAAGTTTGTATGTTGCAACGAACGAGTCGGTCTAGAAGTGGGCGGGGCATGGCGCTGCATTTTATAGAAAGGTAAGAAACCAGCATTGAAGCTAAAAATCAGCATTTGAACTAAAACAAAGCGGAAGAGAATAGAGTAAACAGCTATAGAGTCAGTGGGCGTTGTAATCGTGTGTATATATTTGTCCCGTGTCCAATTTTATTTGGATACTTACTTACTTACTTACTTACTTACTTACTCATGGAGCTGAGCCCTTCTGGAGGAGCCGCCAGTTCTGCAGCTACTCAAGAATTTCCCAGCATTTTATGGAACCCGAAGGTTCATTACCGTGTTCACAAGAGCCCTCAACTGCTCCCCATCCTGAGCTAGATCTATCCAATTCATCCCATCCTATCTCTCTAAGATCCATTCTAATATTGTCCACCCACCTACGCCTTGGTCTTCCCAGTGGTCTCCTTTCCTCTGGCTTTCCCACCAATATCCTATACGTATTCCTCATCTCCCCCATTCGTGCTACACGCCCTGTCCACCTCATCCTCCTTGATTTGATCATTCTAATTAAACTTGGAGAAGAGTACAAGTTATGAAGCTCCTTATTATGCAGTTTTCTCCAATCTCCTGTCACTTCATCTCTCTTCGGTCCAAATATTCTCCTCAACACCCTGTTCTCAAACACCCTCAGTCTATGTTCCTCCCTTAATATCAGAGACCAAGTTTCACACCCATACTGAACCACAGGCAAAATTATAGTTTTGTATATTCTAATTTTTATGTTTTTGGACAGCAGACGAGAAGACAAAAGGTTCTGGACTGAACGGTACCAAGCATTACCCGAGTTCAATCGCCTCTTAATTTCCTCCTGAATCAGGTTTCGATCTGTTATGGTTGTTCCCAAATATCAGAATTGTGCCATATTTTCGAAACATCTGTTTCCTATATTTATATCATGATTTGCCCTGCATTTTGATGACGAGACAGCAACATATACTTAGTTTTCTCAGTGTTTACTTCTAGACCAACCTCTTTACTTGCGTCAATTAAAGTTTGTGTGTTTTTCCTTGTGGTATCTACATTATCACCCAGTAGATTCACATCATCGGCACAGGCCAACACCTGATGTGTCACGTTTAATTTCAGTCCCACCTGGTTTCCCTGGACCTTCCTAATGGCATATTGTAAAGCAAAGTTGAAAAGGAGTGGCGATAAAGCATCTCCTTGTTTTAGACCATTCTGAATATGAAATTTATCAGACAAATGTTTACCTACACGGACTTTACTATACGTTTCGTTTAAACACATTTTAAACAACCTAACTAGTTTCATGGGTATCCCAAACTCTACCAGAATATTGTACAATATTTCCCTCCTAACTGAATTTTATTTTGATATGTAATGAAATTTACGCAACAAAAATGTATGTTTTAAACCTAAGCAGAACATCCGAATTTACGTAAACCGTCATAAAATATAAAACAACTGTACCGGGACTGGTTCAGATTACATTCAGGGTCGAATTATGGAGATGCCGATGCTGATAAGGTTCTTTACTTTCATTCATTCATTTATTTTAAAATTCCATGAATCCTCTCTGGTCACAATGTGCCTAGGATGTAGAACATGTCAGATTACTATATATACTATATATACCTGAAAATTTTGTACGCATCTTTCTCCCTCCTTTAACTTGCTATCCCAGTGAGAGTTGTCAGTGAATATGGTTGGCTGAAACAGCCAATAAAGTGAGTGACACGGTGGTGTTTGATTCATTTTCATTCATCATTCATCAGTAATCTGTCAGATGACAGATCCACAGTCTCTTCCAAAACAGTTCCTCCACTTAATGCGATCTATAGCTTTCTCCTTCAAATACAAATATCTAGCATCTTCTTACGTCTTCTTCTTCGTCTTCTGGATCTCGCATACATGGTACGTACGGCCGTTGTACTGCGGTGTGGAAAGCAAAGTTTGTTCCTTCGTCCCAACAACAGACTCTGAGGCCTGTTCAGCATTTTGTTCTACGGGTCACGAATGCGTAGAATTTACCTTCACCCCCCTGTACGTGCTCTGTGACACGGTGCTTAAGGACTGCACAATGTTGCCATTCGCATGTATTTGCAGGAACCGTTCGTGAATAGTACGAGAAACGCAGAAGAGGGACAGTTGTGCTGTGTCCACCACGGCGCGAAAAGAATAAGACAATGTTAGCTGAACAGAGACTACATGAACGTATGTTTCCATAAATGTGACAAACTGTACTTACATAACAATATTATGTTTAAGAAAGTAACAGGACTTCATGTTGGAAAACCGCTTCTCACATCCCGTTATTAGGCATATTGACATATATATTCATTCAGCTAGCCTTCTCTCAGTAGGGAAACATAAACATAGTTTCCGCACGTGATACAAACCATTATTTAAAAGAACACCTGTGAGTGGTGACATTGTCAATGGGTTAACAGTAACCTAACACAATTTACGATTTCAGACTCAGCAAATGCTGACAAGCAAAGTATTATTTTGAGCGCTACCATAATGAAACGACACGAGTCACACTAGACGATAAGTAGAAGCGAAGAGGCTCTCAACCTTCTGTGAAATTCTTTTTCTATAAGACGAGGGCCCGGTAGCGGGCCACGGCCCAGCGGTTGAGAAACACTGCTCTAAACGTCGCAACCCTGTAAATTTTTTTCCAGATCAGCGAGACGGAAGCACTATGACGTTATGTCTGAATCCTATTATAATTACTTAACCTTTTCAAGGCTGGATTTTTTTCGTTCTCTGTTCAGCCGCCGACAGCTCTGTGAGCGCTATATTCGGGGTTCGAAAACATGATTTGGAAAGAAACTCACTTGTAGCCTGCCAGGATGTTCAAGAGTGTGCTTTTACCAGCTCCGGAAGGTCCCATGATGGCAGTGAGCTCCCCAGACCGAAATTCTCCACTCACCCCGTGAAGGATCTCCTTCTTTGCTGTAAAGAAGAAAAAAAGAGAGGCAAATATTACTCAGCTGTTCTGTTACACTCGACATTGACGCAGTGCATTTCAGAATCAAACAGTCCAGATTTTTACCGTCATTAGAGGTTTCTGTAACATCGGTGCACTTATTTTTTCTTCTAGGAAGGTGATAGTGATTCCTCAGTTATCATCTTGGTATGAAAATAGTTCGCGCAGGCGCGGCATCGTGATTTGGCATAAAAGTATATTAATAAAATGGATAAATAATTTTTGTATAGGCCTACGATATCGCTGGTATTTTCAGTATCGATATTCGCTTAGTGGGGGGTGGGGGGTGGAGTCCATCTGGGTCCACTCGGCACGGCGGTCACTGATTAGCCTATTGTACCTGCCCCGGGTGATTATGATGATGGAGAATTTGGTGGAATGAAGATTGGCAGGGTAAACCGAAGTACACGGAGAACCCCCCCCCCACTTTGTCCACTACAAATCCCACTTGACCAGACCCGGGATCGAACTCGGGCCGCCGCGGTGGGAAGCCAGTGACTAACCGCTTGAGCTATTTCTAAAGAACCAAAATAGGCGTATCAGATCATCATGCTGTCTGTGTCTCTGTGTATCGCCCGCTATTGACTTCTGAATGTCTGAACCAACCTTTATGAAACTTGGTATACTTGTCATGGTACCTGAGAGCATCTCAACGGCGTATTTCATAATTCTCTCCCATCAGTCTGTGTCTATGTGTATACGCCTATTGTTGCTAGGCAACGGTTCGATAAAACCATTAGAGTGGCAACGAATACACACGTAACAACAGAAGAACTGTTGGACTCATCGTTTTCTATGAGGTCCATGTCGTATCAAAGGAAAGTAGGCGATTAGTTCTTCCCAGAACTTCTTATTTAGCCTACTTTCCTAAAGTATGCTTATGTGATCTTCCTGTCTACATATCTCCCTTGTCAACTTCTGAATGCCTGAACCAATCTTTATGAAACTTGGTATGTGTATCATGGCACCCGAGCCCATCTCAACGAGGTAACTCGTAAATCCCTCCCATCAGTCTGCGTGTCTGTTGCTAGGCAGTGGCTAGATTAAAACGTCACCACGGCAACGAATACACACGCAGAAATAGATAAATTGTTGGACGTGCATTTCTGTATGCGGTCCGTGTCGTTTCAAAGGAAAGTAGGCGTTTGTTTTTAGCATACATTCCCTGTTTTGCAAAAATAAAGAAGTATGCTTATGAGATCACCTTGTTAAAGCAAGTGTCACGTAATTTCACACAAGGCCAAGAGTAACCTTGAATGCGCAGAAGAAAAGTTTCAGACAAGGAGGTGGGTTCGAGGGTGTGAGAAGTGACAGGCGGCCAGGTGTTTGTACAACTGGTCGCCTGTCATTTCTCACACCCTCGAACCCACCCCCTTATCTGAAATTGTTCTTCTGCGCATTCAAGGTTACTCTTGGTCTTGTTCGAAGTTACGTGGCACTTGCTTTAATCTTTGTGTCACTGATACTGTGCAGCCAGTACAGACGAAAAGGAGTCGTTAAAGAAACAAATACATAAGCTTAAATGAGACACGCTTTTGGAAATTTCCGTAAGTCGCTAGTAATGCCAGCGACTACGTTGGAATTGAACCAGGAACTGACCGACCGTGATGTGTGAAGTGTGGAATTTCCTGCTGGCAAGTTGTGAATAGAAATCAACTGACGCCATGTTTTACTCTACTGATACCGCGACTTTTTCATTTGTCTGTTACGGGACTCCGTACGCGGGAAAATTAACATGTTTACATAAGGCCCTACGATTTATATGTTTTGACGTTTTATCGGCTTTGTATATCAATGCAGGAAACATGGAAAACTTAATTTTGCTGAGCGGCATACCTAAGTAAGTAACTCTTTGTCAATGTCTAAGCTTTGTTTTTGGCCATATTTCTGAGTCAGTTCTATCGGTCTCCAATCCTCAAATCCCATTTTTGTTTTCAAAAATCGCCTTAAATATATTCTCATAGCTGTCGTTTTTTTCAAACGGTCGTTTTATAAAAATTTCCCCAGCGACACTGTTTACGGATTCAAAGTAGAAAATTCGCCCCTGCCAGTCCTGAACTGAAGAAAGAAGGAGAACTCTGGCATTTGACAGTAACTACTTTAGGACGAAAACTAGGCACAGTTTTACCTTCCGATCGACCTTACAGGCAAAACTATGACAGTTTACCCCCTCCCTTTCCTCCCCATACACGCGCAGATAAAGCGGCAGGCTTCATGCCACAGTCACGGTCTTCCAGCCTATAATGTTGAGTCACACACATCACGTGCTACGGTCCTGCAGGCAGAACTGACGGACTGACGGGTTTCCCACAGGCCAACAGTCCAAACGATTGGCCGGCCGGCCGCACCACACACTTGCCTTTCAGTCTTGAACTGTGCAGGCCGAACTAGAGGCCAAACTGTGTGTGTATGGGGGCCCTAAGAATGACATCAAAGTAAGTGAGCTTTTTAAAGGCGCAGTTACGTAATTGTGAAGAAGAGCTTTAAATGAGATAATCTTCATATTACAATGATAAAAATTTTAAAGTCATGTACAAAATTCTTCCATTCGATTCCGTATGCTTACAAGAAACCCTTAAATTGAAATACATAAATTCGTTTTCTTTGGTGTGAAACTTGATGTCTGGCTTTCTGAGGTACATAAAAGAAGTAAAAAAGTAAGTATAGGTATCCCTGTAACAGGCCGTGAAGGCCCATAGGGTTGTGGGATGTTGAGGTTCCCACATTATCTAGACAATCGGCTCACAGATGGCGGCAAGGTTGTCAGCCCTACGCGCCGGCCGCCCTTTACCCCAAATAATATTCCAAGAATATTCCTGGTACTAATTTCTGTCAGAGGCTGAGTCGACCCCAGGGCCATAGTGCGGCTGGAAGGATTAGGTCAATTGAAAAAATTCAGTGACCTCATTGGGGCTTATACCCGCGACCTTCCGGCTTGTAGCATAGGGTCTCAATCAACTACGCTACCGCGTGCCCCACCTATCTGAGGTACATAGAGAGATTAAGTATTTAGGTTGATTAAATAAAAGAATCGTAGGGCGGGAAAGGCATGTACTAAATGAGAAGTTCATAAAAATTTCAGCTGACGAACCACAAACAAAGAAACTACACGATGCGTGTAGGCGCCACAAGACTGAAAAGAAAACTGAAGTTTTGGAAGCAGGGTGTAAAGACGTGGTGTGGATTGAACTTTCTCGGGATATAGTAGGTTACGAAGATTTCCCAGGGCACTTCCCAATCCATGTCACACATTCGATCTTCATCAATTCTGTACTTCGTAGAAACACCCAAATAACGCTGGAGTGAAAATGCCGAGGAATTGATGGATGAAGCCCGGTCACAGCGGCCTCGCGTTCTACGGCATGAAATGTCTTGTCCGCTCAAATACTGGGATCATGGGTTCGAATCCCACTCAAGACATAGATGTCTGTGTATGTTTATTTGTGTTTGGTTGCCCTGTGTAGGTAACGTCCTTGCGAAGGCTGATCCCCCGTCCAAGGAGTCCTACCGACTGTCAAAGATTAAGAAACTAAAGGGAACGGAAGTGTTTCACAGATGCCCTATGCTCCATGTGGGAGCAACAGAAATATATTAGATGGATGGATGGATGGATGGATAGACAGAATGGATGAAGATCATTGTAACAGACAGAATGGATGAAGATCGCCATTATAACTTTGGTTTTTATATTCATATGCCCAGTCACGTGTGCCTGGAGTTTTAGCAAGTGCGATGTCCAACCGAGGACATCTCCAGTTACACTATCTCAGGATAGGATAGCTTGTGAGGATGTGAACTGGAATGAACTGTGTCAGGAACGGACAGGCTGTGAACATGTGAATTGGGTTCAGCTGTCTCAGGTTCTTATCATCTCCGCTGGACAGAACCTTTCAGGATAGGTTAGGTTGTGAGGATTTGAACTGAACTGTCTGAAGGCAAAATTGACCGAAAGGCTTTCCTTTTTGGTAACGGTGACCGTTCTTTGTGGTTCCATAATGACAACTGAAGATGATTCTGATTAGGCGTACTTTGAAAACACGGTGCTTTTCTAGATCGTTTGTCTAAAATTTAGTCTGAATCCATTCATCTGCTTTTGCGCCAAGAACGGAGAGCTGTACGACGCTCATATAACTCCATCCACTACTTTATCACGTGAAAATGACGCAGTTTCTTAATTGCATCGTCAAGCGTTAACTCCATCCACTACTTTTTTTCCCCCCCCTTGACACTACAGCCCCAGTGGGCCTAGGCCTACCTCCATGAACTTCTCCATTCACTTCGGTTTTTCTAGATCTTACACATTCAGTAGGACTCCTTGGGCGGGTGATCGGCTCGTCGCAAGGCCTTAACCTGTACACAGACACAGAAAATCGCACACTCACAAACGAAACATCCATGCCCTTACTGGGATCCGAACCCACGATCCCGGTTTCCAAGCGAGCGAAGACAGTACATGCCTTAGACCGCTCGGCCATCCTCTACTTTACTACGTGAAAATGACGCAGTTTCTTAATTGCATCGTCAAGCGTAAATTTCCAAATCTTTCATCACAAACGTGTAGCGAAATATATTGGATTGTCTTCAGCTCTTTAGACAGCGTCCTTTCGCATTGTGATTCCATTGAATTAACCCGTACGTTTAAAGTGCAAGTACGTACAAGAAGCCACGTCATAAAACGGCAGCAGTTTTGAATATAAATGACTCATTATGTGAACACATGATTAAATGTCACACGTACTTGCACACTCACGCAGTTCGTAGTTCACAGAAACGTCTGTGCCAAGGAAGAACCACATGTCATAACCATTCTCTCATCTCATTGTTCTGTTTGTGCATCGGCTGCTCGTGGAAGTGCTGCAGTCTCTGAATAGTTACTTTTATGTGCCGCGCCGTAGCTCAAGCGGTTAATCGCTGGCTTCCTACCGCGNCGCCATGTCTGAAATTGTCTCTTGGCGTACATACCAAA